AGCCAGCAGGTGGACATCCCCCAAGGGGTCCCGGACTGCGAGAGGGTGCAGGCTGGGCTGAGAGAACTCCCTGAGTGCATGAATTTTCATGCACCAGGCCTCTAGTCCTTTATAACAAAAGCCCAGCGACCAAATGGCAGAATGACCAGAACACTGAAACAACCATTCCCCCTCGCCCTGGCCGGCCCCACCCCCAATCAGCCCCCATAGGGGCGGGCCAACTGGACCCCCACCAGTGCACAAATTTGTGCACTGGGCCTCTAGTCTATATATATATATATATATATATATATATGCCTAATATGCTAAGTGTCCAACTGATTGGTCGACCATTTATTTGGTCGACCGCTTGGTCAGTTGCTATGACATGCACTGACCACCAGGGGGCAGACGCTCTGATCGGTAGGTTAGCTTGCTGCTGTGGTCCGGCCAATCTGGACTGGAGCCAACCTCCCACGGTCCCTGTCTGGCCTCTAAAATATTTCTTCTAATTAATTTCCTTTCCATGTGCATGAATTTGTGAACTGAGCCTCTAGTTCTTACATAATAAAATGTAAACTTTAGTTGTATCTTATATTGAAAGTATATAATAATCTCTAAAGTTGTTTTCAATATATTAACATGGCCCAGAATGTCAAGTAATTCTAGAAGAGTATTTTAATCAAACTACTGTTTTTTTCCAAACAATATCTTTTTAGCTTTCTAGTAATTTGGTGTTAGATCTGTATAGTCCAGTGATGGCGAACCTTTTGAGCTCAGCATGTCAGCATTTTGGAAAACCCTAACTTAACTCTGGTGCCGTGTCACATATAAAAATTTTTTGATATTTGCAACCATAGTAAAACAAAGACTTATATTTTTGATATTTATTTGATATATTTAAATGCCATTTAACAAAGAAAAATCAACCAAAAAAATGAGTTCGCGTGTCACCTCTGACACGTGTGTCATAGGTTTGCCATCACTGGTATAGTCTATTCTCTTTTGCTCAAGCCTATTCTTATAAAATAAACCATGTAGATATAAAGACTTAAATATGCTGAACTTTTTTTGGCTTACATGTTATAGATTATTTAGAAATGAATGTGTATACCAGACATTTTACTTTAGATTTGTAAGATATTGTGGATTTTATTGCTTCAGTATAGCTATTCCTCACTGACAGTTGTCAGAGATGCCTAATATAGATTTCATTCTTTCATTCCTTTCTCTTCTTCATGGGAAGGAGAGATTTGTATGCCATTTCATTTTCCCCTCACACATTGCTGTGAGGTGAACATTATGTCACAGATAAGGCCGAAGGTTAAACGGCAGTCAACAAGGAGTAGAGGCAGGATTTGAGCTATGCCTCAAGACCTCGGAGCACATGATATTCAGCTCTAGGAACAGAATGACCTACAAGTTTAACAGATTACATTGTTGAATTGGCCAGTATCAGCATAATGATAACTAAGGTTTGACTATTTACTATGTGCCAGGTATTATGCTAAATGTTTTAGATAAATTTATATGAACAATATATTGGATTTTAGTTGTACCTTTCCTCAAGTAGGAGAGTGAGTAGTACTTCGCAGCACCTCGTTCAAAAGTTGATTAAAAGAGGAATCATGAAATCTCCCCAAAATATATGCTAATTCTCTCTTTCTCTCTTTCTTCCTTTGTTCTCTTTAGGGCATCCAATTCTACACTCAGCTAAAGACCATCACTTCTCAGTGGAAAGAAGAAGATGCTACTCTTTCCTCACCTGCTGTGGTCATGCCTACCATGGGCCGTTAGAAGGAGTTGTTCCAGACTCAGTCCATCCTGAGTCATCTCCCTTTATTCTTGACCACCTTCATTTGCCAACTTTGCTCAGATCAGATCCCTGAGAATGGAATACCTTGTAACTAAATCTTTCTCAGGACCATTAGCCCCTGCACAGTTGCTATAGAGAGACTCCTGGTGTAAATCTAAAACTGGATTTACTTACTCTTCATACTTCTCTTTTTGAGGTAACTGTTGTTAACTGTGAAATGTTAATCTGAAGGAGAGCTTAGAGCTGTTTTCTAAAAATTCTTCCCTCTTCTGATAACGTGAAGGGAAGATTAGTGTTTGTAAAGATCATCCATAATTCACCCTTTGGTTGACCTTCAAACAGCCCTACATAATTGCCAGTGGGGGATACACCACTGCCAGGCTTTCCTGAGCCTATCATCCCATACTACACAAGATATAGTCCATTTCTACTTATCCCACCGTTGTGACAACTGTTTCTTTCTTTTTGCTGAATGCCACTTTGTCCTAGTGATTCATGACCACTAAATTCTATCATCACCTCTGTCCTGCTTCTTCATATAATTTTTCAAAGATACCTCAGTATGCATTGGATAAATCTCCATTTTGTTGCGTGTGCCAAATGTTCAAGTTTAGGGTTTGCTTCAACAATCATTAATTAACAATTCAGTTATTAACTCAGATGCCAATAGGTTTTTTGTTTGTTTCTAGACCCAGATATCAAAGGGAGTTTGCCTTAAGCAAGTCTAGCCTGATTATACTTTTTAATGAAACAACCCTTAATATAGAATAACTGACTAGGGTCTAAGACATTTTTAAAGCTTTTCATGACATAAAGTAGTAAAAAAGAAATGCTTTGCCCTGCCTGATGCGGCTCAGTTGTTTGGAGCATCATCCTGTGCACCAAAATGTGGTGGGTTTGAATCCTGGTCAGGGCACATACCCAGATTGTGGGTTCAATTCCTGGTTGGGATGTGTACAGGAGGTAGCCAAACAATGTTTCCTTCTCCCTTTCTTTCTTTCTTTCTTTCTTTCTTTTTCTTTCTTTCTTTCTTTCTTTCTTTCTTTCTTTCTTTCTTTCTTTCTTTCTTTCTTTCTTTCTTTCTTTCTTTCTTTCTTTCTTTCTCTCTCTCTCTCTCTCTCTCTCTCTCTCTCTCTCTCTCTCTCTCTCTCTCTCTCTCTATCTCTCCCTCTCTCTCCCCCTCCCTCCCTCCCTCCCTTTCTTCAAAATCAAAAAAACATATTTGAAATAAAAGAAATGCTTTGACAGATTCTTTTGCTACCATTAATTCAACTATGTCTTTGATGTAGCTAAGCTTTAAGTCAAATAGATATTGATATGCTAATCAAAACAGCTTCTGCCTTTTTGCTCTACATTCAATTGAATCCCATCTTTCTGATGCAGTTTTCACCCAGTGAACAAGGAGAAGGCTTCTGGCTCAGGTAGAGTAAGTAATCTCTGGTCCCTAGCCAGATGATATAGGTCATTTATTTTTCTGTTTCCCTTCAGTCATATGGATAATGCTGACCTACTCCATAGGAGTTACTCAGTGAATTAAGGATAGTGAAAACCTTGAAAATGTTTGTACACTCTACATAATTTAGGCTTATTACTACCACCTAGTGATAGAATATCAAAATCTTCAGTCACTTAAGGCAGTGATTTTCAACCTTTTTCATTTCATGGTACACATAAACTAATTACTAAAAATTTATATTTTTTGCCAAGCTGACAAAAAATTGGTATAATTTTGATTGATTTACAAAAAAATAATAAGAATAATTACCTACCCTTTTTGCTCCAAAATTACTTTTTTCAAAATCAGGTGCATATACTTATAAGGATTTTTGGTACCCAGAATTAACCAATCAGATACAACCTTATTATGCAACATGACCAATAAGTTGCAACTCTATTATATGACCTATATATTTATGGTTCAAGAGAGGGCATTCGCCTTTGAGACAGCATGGAGGGACCTGGAGAGTATTATGCTAAGTGCAATAAGCCAGTCAGAGAAAGACAAGTATCACATGATCTCACTCATGTGGAATCTAATGAACAAAATAAACTGATGAATAAAATGAATCCAGAGACATAGAAGCGTAGAACAGACTGTGGAATCTCAGAGGGAAGGCAGGGGAGTGTGGGTGGGTGGTAAGTGATCAACCAAAGAACTTGTATACATGTATGCATAACCCATGGACACAGACCATAGGGTGGTGAAGGCTGGGACTTGGGGGTGGGGGTAAAGGTGGGCAGGCAGGCTAGAAGGGGTCAGTGGGGGGAAGGGGAAAATGGGACAAATGAAATACTTTCAACAATAAAGATTTAATTTAAAAAAGGGGGGTGGGCATTCACACCAGACAGCTATTTTGTGTTGGCTACTGTCATTCTTTTATTTGGCAATCTAAGGAAAAAGAGGTCAGTGCTCCTGACTAGTCAGGTTTTGCATATTTTAAAAATTCTTATGGCACACCAGTTGAAAATCACTGAGTTAAGGTGACTAGAATTTTAATAAAATACATTTATGACCCTACTGGGTCTTCCTGATTTATTTTGTTTTATTTCAGTTTTGCCTTCCTAAAGATGAGGCAGTAGAAATTTATAGAATGTCCCTTGTTTTATCTCTTATCACAGCTGGCAACTGATAGTGATATTTAATCCAATCCAACAACTAGAGGCTGGATTGAATAAAAGGTCATACTCTCTAAATTACAAGTGGAATTGAATCACAGAGACTCCTAAATTTTCCTTACATTTAACAGAAATCACTTTTTAAATAATACTAATCAGGAGACAGCCAATCAATGATTCTCTCTTATCATTGATGTTTCTCCCTTCCTCTATGAAATCAATAAAAATATATTTTAAAAAATACTCATCAGAATCATGAAAATGGCAGGTATAATTAAATTAGAAGATGTTTCAATATTTAAAAAAAGAAGAATTGTGTTCCTGTAATTGGAATCAATTTATTTGGTTAGTCACTTGCTACTCAGAAGTTTCTTATTTCTTAAATAGAAAAAACAATTGTACAGTTGTTTATGCTAGTAGCAGCTAAAAAAATGAGTGTTTTGTCTTCATTTTGCTCTGATGTGGCCTCATTCTCTGATTTTACATTGTACTAATTATGAATAACAAGCACAAATAAAAAGCTCTTAAAAAAAAATGGTGCCATACTTACTTATACCAGTAAGGCCTCTGTCCCCTACCTGTAGTGACTTAGACTTCCCGCCTCTGTCCAAAGCCAAGAGTTCAATGGGTCGTTATGTTTTAATTCTTACATAAAAGATAGTACATATGTTGGCTAGGCTGTGGATTTCAAAAGGCAATTTATGTGTTTTCAACACTAAGAGGCAAAACATGCATTTGCATTAAGTATATGCCTGCCTTATGTGGATAGTTATAAAAATGTCCACAATCTCATACTAGTATTAATACTCATTTCACTGATACTTGAGATAGTAGAGCTAAAGAACTGTGACTTAGCAAGAAGCTCATGGGGAAAGGTAACAGTTATATGTATTGTTTGGTTAGATTACAGACTCCTTACCATGTCAGACTCATGTGATCCTTTCTGAATATTGGATATTACCAGTTCATGAGAAGAGTCTGAGATTGGTACTTGCTGGGTGATGAACGTTTGATCTTGAAGCTTACTTTCATCCCTTAAATAAAGACAAAGAGACCTGTCAACAACCATGCACACATGGAATCTAGTTCAGAACAATAGAACCATTGTGATCAGGCTCATGTTCATTGCTTTGTCAAGAAAGACTTTACTGACAGAAACATGAAGTATTCCTGGCTTGTGTGAGTGCTCCTTCCTTGGCCTCCAGTAGTTTCCTCACACCCATGCTCTGATAGAGGATAGTAGAAAATGAGAAGATTAATGCAGAAAAGTCATCAAAACAGAAAGTGGATCTACAGTCTTTGCCAACTCGTGCCTACCTGGATCAGACAGTTGTGCCTATCTTATTACAGGGACTTGCTGTGCTTGCAAAGGAAAGACCACCAAATCCCATTGAATTTCTAGCATCATATCTTTTAAAAAACAAGGCACAGTTTGAAGATCGAAACTAATTGGGAAGAACAGAAAAATTTGGTTTCTACTATAGATTTACATGATTAAGAGGCAGCTTTAATTGCCATGATTTCCCCCACCCCTTTTTGGAAGTATAAGAACCTTCAGGACAACAACTTGTTCTTGGAGTTGCAGAAGAAAACATATTTCCCTTATTTTGATTTAATCACCATACTTATATTTAAAGAGTGTATTATGTGCAATTTTTTCTCAGATTGTCTTTAACTTTGTTTTTAAAATGACCTTCAAACCATTGTGATCAGGCTCATGTTCATTGCTTTGTCAAGAAAGACTTTACTTTTGCCCTGGCCAGATGGCTCAGTTGGTTGGAGCATCATCCCATACACCAAAAGGTTATGGGTTTGATCCCTGTCAGGGCACAACCTAGATTGTGGGTTCGATTCTGAGTCAGGGCACATAGAGGAGGCAACTGATTGATGCTTCTCTCACACATTGATGTTTCTCCCTTCCTCTCTAGAATCAATTAAAAAATCATATTCTTGGATGAGGATTTTTTAAAAAGAGAGACCTTACCCAAATTCCTCTGTTTGTCCATTGTCTGGAACAACATATTCTGAACCTGGAGGTCTAGAGCTCTGATTATATTTCCTGTGGTGGGTAAAAGTTAACAATGAGGCAGTGTCTCCTTGTGCCCTTATTTCAACTCTAAAAGTGCTAAATTAATGCTTCTATTGGATGGGCTTCTCATTTTCAAAAAAATGATCTTTTACACACACATAGAGGCAGTGTAATGTTAGGCAAGTTAATATAAACTTATAGTCTCTTAAAGTTGAGACATGTTGAACTTAAGAAATGGGAAATATTTATGGAGATGATCATGATGATGCTACATAACAGCTATTAATGGTGATGGGCAAGGTTAAACCTGAGTACTGACCAAAACAAAACAAACATAAAACATGGCTAGAAAAATTTCCTTCCTATAAAAAGAACCACAGAACACAGCATAAATGGAGAGACATCGTATAAAAATTTCTCTCATACTTTGGCAAGTCTGATTAAAACACAGGAAATAAACATATCACTAAGTCAATATTTTAATTTGAAAGTGAGCTTAACAGTTACAAAAAGTATAGTAGGTTTTTTTTGTTTTGTTTTTTGCCAGCAGATAAAGATACATATCTCACTCCTAAAACTTGCCCTCAACTAGGTGTACATGAAAGAAGCATAAACCTATTCAAAATCTGGCTATCCTCGCCCTAGCTGGGTAGTTTAGTTGGTTAGCGCATTTTCTTTGTCCTGATATGCCAAGGTTGTGGGTTCAATCCCCGGTCAAGGCACGTACAAGAAGCAACAAATGAATGCATAAATAAGTGGAACAACAAATCAATGTTTCTCAAGTCAATTTTTTTAACCCATTCAAAATCTGGCTATCTTAAATAGTCTAATAATGTACTTTAGATACTACCAGTGCCTAAGTTATAGCCAGAGTTGTTGCTGATGCATTAGAGTACAGTTTATTGATTATACTAGTACATACCCCTTTGACTTAGCTCACTCACAAAGAAAAATACTGAACTATTGGATTTAAATCATATACAATCTACTGTGAATTCTTACCAACTTCCTAATTAATCTACTTTCCTTGGTAGACTTTTTATCATTTAATTCCTCCCTAATATTAGGTTTCTTACTTAATCTCATCTTTATCTCAACATTTCACTATTCTATTCCTATAGTCTTTTTCCTTCATCTAACACTGGCATGAGATTCCAGTAGGTTTAGACATGGTTTCATTGCGGCCAGGTTCAAGTTCATTACTAAGATTTCACTCAATTTCCTGTTTCTCCAGTATTGAAAACAACACAGTATGGAACTCAAGGCCTGGAACTCAGGCTGTATTCCCTGGGAGAAGTCAACTCACAATGAGACAGACATTCAGTACTTATAGTCTAGATCAGTGATGGCGAACCTTTTGAGTTCGGCGTGTCAGCATTTTGAAAAACCCCAACTTAACTCTGGTGCCGTGTCACATACAGAAATTTTTTGATATTTGCAACCATAGTAAAACAAAGACATATTTTTGATATTTATTTTATATATTTAAATGCCATTTAACAAAGAAAAATCAACCAAAAAAATGAGTTCGCCTGTCACCTCTGACATGCGTGCATAGGTTCGCCATCACTGGTCTAGATTGTACCTCCACATCTTCAAAAGACTACCAGAGACACAAAGAAACTTCAAAGTCCTTTATATTCCATTTAGCCAATACTTTAAACTCTTGTTTAGTTGTACTCTTCTTTGTTCCTCTGTTTATTAATTGTGGTTATTCCTAAAGGTTCTAGCCTGAGCCCTTTACTTTTCTACCTACATCCACTTTCCTAAACTCAACTACCAATTTTCATTAAACATGCTCAAATCTCTCTCCCTAAACTATCACCTGTACTCCAAACACTATTTATACATGCCTTAAGTATTTTTTACTTCAATATTGCCATCATCTCCAATTTGACACTGAAAATACTACTTTCTGTTTCTTCTGCCTAGAATGATTTTTCTCCCTTTTTTAGTCCGACTTACCTTTTAGAGGTCAGCTCAAGCTTTTATTTCCTCAGAAATATTTCTGACCTCAATTAGGTCAGATTCCCCTAATCAAGGCTCTCATACCACTCCTTTGAGCCTATGTCATAGTTGTACTTTCAAATATATTTATGTGATGATTTGAATAATGACTTTCTTCCCACATAAACCATGAACTCCCTGGTATTAGGCATGTCTTTATTTGCCCACCATGATATCCTCAGTAAATAGCAGCACTCAATATGTATTTGTTAAATGACTCGGATAGATTAAATAAAATTTAAATATTTCCCTCACATTGGCTTTTCAGATTTTTCATTTGACTTTAATACTGCCATTCTTTTATTTCTTAATCTAAAAACTTAAACGTTTACACTTTGTTGTCTTTATTCCTTTTGTCCTTTATCACTAAGCTATTTCTCCTTCCCGTCTTTCAGCTTCCTTTTTTCTGACTGCTCCCACTCTTACCTAACCCCCTCACTACCACATGAGTAGTGCAGCAGCTTCTGCTGGTCCCCACCTCTATTTCTGTCCTCCAAGCCATCATATTGTCTTTGTTAGGTTCCAGTCAGCTCTGAGAACAATAACCTGTGAGCCCTTCCAGTGAAAGTATGAGAGTATGGCTTATTGCTCTTTGTATTCCTTTAAGATAAAGGAGAAAAATATGTTACACTGCTCTAGAATCTACACTAGCATAAGTTCAGGCTTTTCTGCATGGTTTTTAAAGGCTCATCATAATATAATCTATAGATTAATCCTTATTTCTTATTACTAATTATTCTCTAGCACAGTGGTTCTCAACCTTCCTAATGCCGCGACTCTTTAATACAGTTCCTCATGTTGTGGTGACCCCCCAACCATAAAATTATTTTCGTTGCTACTTCATAACTGTAATTTTGCTACTGTTATGAATCATAATGTAAATATCTGATATGCAGGATGTATTTTCATTATTACAAATTGAACATAATTAAAGCATAGTGATTAATTACAAAAACAATATGTGTTTTCCGATGGTCTTAGGCGACCCCTGTGAATGGGTCATTCGACCCCCAAAGGGGTCTCGACCCACAGGTTGAGAACCGCTGATCTAGCATTACCACACTTCTTCAAGCTAGGCAGTTTTTCCTCAATGTTCCCAAAATACCTGATACCCATTTCTACCTTGGGCTTTTGCTTATGCTGTCTACTTTGCCCCTTGCCTAATGTGTCCTGCCCCCTATCTCAACTATTCCACTCTCTTACAAGGCACCCACAGAGTCATACTTCCTGTCTTTCTGACGGAAGTCTTCCTCCCTGACTACTCTAGCCCATTGACATACTGTCTGAACTCCAATTGTACTTTATTGTTCCATCTATTTTTTTCCTTGTTATTTTTGGTTTTGTTTGATCTCTTTGAGATCAAAGGCAATGTCTCTTAATTCTGTTGAATCCCCAGAATACCTAACATAGTGCCAAGCACATAACAGGCAATCAGTAAGTGGTTGATTAATTTTACCCACTTTATAGTTCATTACCAGGGTTATAGTTACTGATAAAACATAGTGGAGAGAGTGAAAACAAATCATTAAGAAGAATTATTTTAGCCTGGCTGGTGTTGCTCAGTGGTTGAGCTTCGACCCATGAACCAGGAGATCAAGGTTCAATTACCCATCAAGGCACATGTCCGGGTTGTGGGTTTGATCCCCAGTAGGGGGTGTGCAGGAAGCAGAGCGATGATTCTCATCGTTGATGTTTTTTCTTTTATCTCTCTCTCCCTCTCCCTTCCTCCCTCTGAAATCGTTTTTTTTAATTAAAAATAATTTTAAAAATATCTTTAGATTTTTGTTTCCCTTTTTAGGTCTTTTCCTTGGTATTAGAGAGTCTCTTGTTAGGTAATAAGAGATTCTCTCTTATTAGAGATTAATAATCAGCTTAAAAAACCATTTACTTATCTTTGTAGACCAATAAAATCTTAACAATTGTTATGCTTCTCTACATTACCGCTCATTCAGCTGTGCAATATTGTACCTTCTTAGCAAGCATTACCTTAAACATCTAAAATTAATCTCTTTTCTACCCCCTTATTTATTTATTTCTGAGAATTGCTTAGCTAAGTGGTATGACCCTTTTATATTTTCTGATCTTTTCCTAATCCTTTCATTCTAAGTGAGAATAAGTTCATTATTCCTAAATGATTTTAAGGATTGATGACAACTTGGTATTTTACTACAGAAACAGGAATTTACCTGGGACCAAAACCATTCATTTTTGCAAAAAGCAATCGTAAGACTTTCTCCTTCTGCTCCCAAGTCAAATCTCCAATATCCACATTTCCTTGAATATCTGTCCTGAAGAATATCAAAGGAAAAGGAAAAATATGGTCAAAGTAAGCATCTCCTTTTTTTGAAAAATATAAAATATGTACATATGAGAAAAGAAAATTTCCAAAATATGTAAATATGAGAAAAGAAAATATCTCCCTCTCCCTTCTTCTCTGAAATCAATAAAAATATATTTTTTAAAAAGAAATAAAACTAACACAAGTGCTCTATATGCAAAAAATTTCTCACATTATACATCAATACTCACTCTACATGTAAGCCGACCTGGTTCATGGGTTGGTTGGTGCTCAACCACTGAGCCACGGCATGTTAGTTTTCTTTAAAAGTTTAGGTTTTGCCCAACCAGCTCAGGGGTTGAGTGTCGACCTATGAACCAGGAGGTCACAGTTCAATTCCAGGTCAGGGCAAATATCCGGATTTCAGGCTCCATCCTCAGTGTGGAGCATGCAGGAGGCAGCCGATCAATGATTCTCTCTCATTATTGATGTTTCTCTCTCTCTTTCTCCCTCTCCCTTCTCTAAAATCAATAAAAAATATTTTCAAATAAGTTTAGGTTTTGCTTTATTATCACCATATACTTCAACTGTCCCTCTCCAATCTGCCTTTTAAGCCTCTTAAAAATCATTTACTTACCCTAACCAGTTTGGCTCAGTGGATAGAGTGTCAGCCTGAGGACTAAAGGGTCCCTCCCGGGCTCGATTCCAGTCAAGGGCATGTACCTTGGTTGCAGGCACATCCCCAGTAGGGAGTGTGCAGGAGGCAGCTGATCAATGTTTCTCTCTCATCGATGTTTCTAAGTCTCTATCCCTCTCCCTTCCTCTCTGTAAAAAATCAATAATATGTGTGTGTGTGTGTGTGTGTGTATACATATATATATATATATTTTTTAATCATTTACTTATCTTTTACTTTCCTATTGACTCTACCTGCCCTGCTGAGGGTTTATAGGGGGAAGAGTGCTCTAACAGATAGAAAAGCTAAGGAAGCAATTAATAGGAAACTGAGGTTAAGGTGACAAGTTGCTCAATAGCAGAAATGTCACACAAAAGGCAGAATAGGAAGAGTCCTGTTTCCTCAGTAACAATGTATAGAATCAGTTTATGTACCTTCCTCTGAAAACTAATATACTACTTAATATACATAGACAAAAAAATTTTAATATATTTTTATTGATTTCAGAGAGGAACGGAGAGGAAGAGAGAGATAGAAACATCCATGATGAAAGGGGATCATTGATTGGCTGCCTCCTGCACATTGGACCAAGCTTACAACCCAGGCATGTGCCCTTGACCAGAATCGAACCTGGGACCCTTTGGTCCATAGGCCGATGCTCTATCCACTGAGCCAAACTGGCTGGGCCATAGACAAAAAACTTTAAAAGAAACTGCCTTATATTTGATAGGGACTCAACTTGCTTGGCATTAAATAAATTAGAGGGAATTGTAGAGGATCTGTTGGTAAAAAAGAGTGTTATTACAGACTTCTGAATACAGAAAGAAGATTTAAAAATTATACACTGTGTGGACGTTTTTGAAGAAGAGTCTTATCTTTCAGAAGCTATTAACCATGTCTAACCTTTCCAGCAGCTAATTTAAAAGAGCATACAAATTAATCCACCATAAAATAATTTAAGGCAGAAAATACATTTGGAAGCATTCTTAGTAAGATGTTAAGTACATAGAGGTCTGGAGTCCTTTTAAGTTTCTTGACTTAAGGCCTTTGAAGAATCTAATTTCATTGGGATATAAAACATAATTTTAACAATAATCTTTAAAAATGCACCATAATTTAATCCGTGGTTTATAGGGGGAAGAGTGCTCCAACAGATAGAAATGCTAAGGAAGCAATTAATCATAGTATATAATCTACAACTGTTTCAAGTATTCTGCTACCTTTATCATAGTAGCAGTACATCTCAAGGAAACTTGTGGGGACTTTTGGTTAATACAATGATAGGGGCACTACTGGGTGTCTTCCAATCCAAGGGACAGTTCTGTATAAGAAAGAATTGTTACAATGAATTGTTACTGGTATATTGATTTTTTAAATAATATGTTAGGTATTATTACCTATAAATTTCATCTCAGAATAGTAAAGGGAATATCTATATATATAAATCTATATATATAAAAGCCTAAGCAACTGAATGACCAAGCAACCTAATGACCGTTTGACCGTTTGCTATGATGCGCACTGACCACCAGGGGGCAGACGCTCGAGCAGCTGCCCCCTGGTGTTCAGTGCATTCCCACAGCTCAATGCTGGTAAGTGCACCTGTGGTGGAGCAAGCCTCTCCCACCTCCATAGCAGCACTGAGCAGCAGCTGCGGCAGGCGCAGTGGGTCAGGATGAGCGGGAGCAGCGCGGCACCACTTTGTGCACTACTACATCCCTAGGGGGATGTCGGACTGCCAGTTTCGGCTCGATCCCAGCAAGCCAGCCTGCGAAACCAGCAGTCCGACATCTCTCGAGGGGTCCCAGATTGTGAGAGGGCGCAGGCCAGGCTGAGAGACCTCACTGGTGCACGAATCCGTGCACTGGGCCTCTAATTATAAAATATTTATGAAAGTATGTTTATAAAAAATGTTTAACCTGAATCTAATTAAACCTTTGTAACTAGTTTATAGGAAACAAAATAAAAGAGCATGTTAAAAGATACTGCAATGACATTCTATGGGAAAAAGTAATCTAGTCTCTTTAACAGTTTCTCTTATGAAGAAAAGAGGGCACCACTAACAATATTTATTAGGCCCCACAAGCTATGCCAACATAGGGGTTACAAAGATGAGTTAGTTCCTATCCTCAAGTACCTCACTAAGTAATCTACTCAATACTTAGATATTACCAAACTGAATTTTTCAGGGTTCTTATTTCTCTAAAGGCACAAAAATAGCAGCACAAAAGATAAAATATTAAAGTGTTATTAGTACCATTTACTAGCCTCTTTAAGATCCTGGTCCACACTATTGGTGCTGTGCTCTCTGCCATCAAATGTTCGAATTTTGGGATATTCTGTTCTTCCTGCGTACGCCTCTCGCATTTTTAAATTGAAAGCAGCTTGTGCCATCTTCTTATAATGCAACCTGTTAAATGCAATCTCTTGCTTCACTTGGTGTAGAGCATCCAAAAAGAAACTTTCCACTTCTGTTCTCTCATCTAGTATGTTCTTGGCCAGTTTCTTCACTCTATTCATTTCCCTATTCTTCTTCTGAAGCAGGTTCCGCAGTTTGTAAAGTTCAATCTGATCACTTTGGTTATTTACCATTGCCTCCTGCTTCTGTTTTAGAACTTCAGTCTCAAACTCTCTAGTCAGACAACTCAGGGCAGTCTCCAAGCTTACCACCTTCTTCTGAAGATTTTGGATTTGTGACTTCTGCTGGGTAAGTTGCATAACCTTTTCCTTAATCAACAGATCATTGATTTCCTAAAAACAGAAAGAGGTGAGAGATTTCTTTTTTCTTTAGTCAATTTCAGAACTTAAAAGTTCCTCTCTAATTTCCATTACTTTGTGAGATTTGAGTATGATGCCAAGTTGAGATGGGATATTTTAGAATTCTGTGTATAGAGAGTAAAAAACATCCTAGGGTCCTTGTCTAGACTTGTGAAGACCACTGATTTTGCCAATTAAGAAACTTTCTTTCCCCTAAAATCCTGAAAGGTTAAATATTTTATATTATCAAAAGGGTAATTCCAAAATCAGTATGACTATACAATAAAAACATTAATTTAACAACTATATACTGGAAATTCTGGCAGTTTGCTAATTACCTATCTCAATGTCCATTTTCTCTTTCCTCCTGAGTAATAAAACCCCAATTTTTTTCAGGAAGGCAGTAAACTCAGTTGAAAATTCCCTATCTCCCCTGTGGTTCAGCATAGCGATGTAGGTTCTGATCAATGAGGTGTAAGTAGAAATGTGTGTAGGACTTCCAGGAAGACCCCTAAAGGGAGGGGCATATATTTTTCCTTCTTGTCCTTCCTTCCTGCTATTTTAGTAATGATTAGAGCTCCAGCAGCTGCTGTAGGCCATGAGGTGACTTTGAGGATGTAAGCCACATGCTGCAGAGCAGAGTTAAGGAACCTGGGCTCTGTTGGCTTTGTGGCACTACCATTCCAGTTCTGACTTCCTTTAGGTGACAGAATAAACCCTTATGTGATGATGCCTCTGTTGTCAGAGCTGTTACAGCCGAACCTGTTCCTAAGTGATTCAGAGACCAACTCTAAGCAAAGCGAAATGAGTATTCTCAAGTAGTAGATAATAGGAGTTGTATTTATGTTTCTGATATATCCTTTATAATGCTAAGTCTAATGCTTCTTAGTCATTCAGTAATTAATCTTTTGAGATAAGAAAGGTACATCATTCAGACAGAAGAAAAATGATCCCTTTGTTCTTATGTATCTTTATTATACTCAACTAGAGGCCCAGTGCACAAAAATTTGTGCACTCGAGGGGGGGGGGTCCCCTCAGCCTGGCCTGCACCCATTCACAGTCCAGGACCCCTTGGGGGATGTCCACCTGTCGACTTAGGCCCACTCCCCGGGGGATCAGGCCTAAGCTTGCAGTCAGACATCCTTCTGGCAGCCAGGGAGCCCTCAGGCGATGTCCGACTGAAGGCTTAGGCCCCCAAGGGATCCGGTCTAAACTGTTAGTTGGACATTCTTAGTGCTGCCACGGAGGTGGGAGAGGCTCCTGCCACCACCACTGCACTGGACAGCCATGAGCCAGCTTCTGGCTGAGTGGCACTCCCCATATGGAAATGCACTGACCACCAGGGGGCAGCTCCTACATTGAGCATCTGCCTCCTGGTGGCCAGTGCGCATCATAGCAACCGGTCATTCTGTCGTTCAGTCAATGTGCATATTAGCCTTTTATTATTATTATATAGGATGTCCCTATTTCCCCCCTTTTGCCCCCTCTACCCAGCTCTTGCCCCCACTTCTCTCTGGCCATCACCATACTGTTGTCTGTGTCCATGGGTTGTGCATAGATTTTCTTTGTCTAATCCCTTCTTTAAATTCACTTCTTTAAATTTTTATTTTCAGATAAGTGCTTATAACTGCACTATTATATATTTTCTATTATATCATTTAGAATTAAGATATTTTTTAATTGAACCCTTGTAAATTTTAGCACAATTTAATAAATTATGCTAGAAGCAATTAGGAGATTTTTCATGTAATGCATACACACTTCAATTAATATTTTATTAATCTTCAATTTTTTAATATTTTAATTTGAAATAATCTCATACATGTAAAAAAAAACTATAAAATACTACAGCATATTATATGTACCCTTCACCCAATTCCTTAGGAGTTAATAATTTAAACATAACCATTATGCAACTAACAAAATTTATTTTTCTTATAATCTCTTTAATGTTACTTAATCCATTTACTTTGTTTTTGTTAATCTTCACCCAAGGATATTTTTCCATTGAATTTTAGAGAGAGTGAAGGGATAGGGAGAGATACATTGATTGGTTGCCTCCTGCACATGCTTTGATTGGGACTGGGGATCAAGTCAACAACTGAGGTACATGCCCTTGACTGGAATCAAACCTGGGACCCTTCAGTTCACAGGCTAATGCTCTATCCACTGAGAAAAACAGGCTGCAGCTTAATTCATTTACTTTTAATCTATATGTGTCTTTATATTTAAAGTGGGTTTTGTTTTTGATTCACCCTCATAATCTGTCTTTTAATTGGTGCATTTATGCCACTGACTTTCAGAGTGCTTACTGATAGAGTTAATACCATATCAGGCAGCTCCTGGGGCTTCTGGGGGGGGGCTGCCTTGCTGCCCAGGACCCGCTGATCAACCGAGTACTGGGAGGCAAGGCGGGCCCGGCTCCTGGGGCTTCTGGGGCAGGGCTGCACTGGATAGCAGTGCGCTGGTGGCTCGCACTATCCCACCCTGCCTGTAGTATGCAAATTAGCCGCCACCTTTGTTGGCAGTTAATTTGCATATCGTGCTGATTAGCCAATGGGAGGCATAGCGAAGGTACGGTCAATTACCATGTTTGTCTATTATTAGATAGGATGCTTAGTATTTATCAACTTAATCCTTAAAAAAAAAAAGATAGGGCCCCGCCAGTGTGGCTCAGTGGTTGAGCTTGACTCATGAACCAGGAGGTCATAGTTCAATTCCCAGTCAGGCACATACCTGGGTTTCAGGCTAGATCCCCAGTAGGGGGCATGCAGGAGGCAGCTGATCAATGATTCTCATCATTGATATTTCTATTTCTCTCTCCCTCTACCTTCCTCTCTTTGAAATCAGTAAGAACATATTTTTTAAAAAGATAGGAAACGAAGTCTAAAAGAGAATTGGAACCTTTTGATATAAAAGGGAAGTTTTAGACTCTAGCAACTTCTCAGATTTTTTTTGTAGAGCATCAGCTTCCTTCAGGTGGTAGTCAAGAGCTTTCTGGAGAGAAACATTCTCTTTAAAAACAGCTCTTCCAGCACTGTTCAATTGCCTGAAATAGAGAGACACAAGATTTCAAAACAGAGGTCTAAGTTTCAGATATTACCAAACTAGGACAATTATTGCTTTATCCCCCCAAATTAATGATAAGGACAACCCTGACAGGTTGCTATTATTAACCCCATTTTTAAAAAACATATTTTTACTGATTTCAGAGAGGAAGGGAGAGGGAGAGATAGAAACATCAATGATGAGAGAGAATCATCCATTGGCTGCCTCCTGCACGCCCCCTACTGGGAACCGAGCCCAAAATGCAGGCATGTACCCTTGACCAGATCAAACCTGGGACCCTTCAGTCACAGGCCCACACTCTATCCACTGGGCCAAAAAATTAAGGAATCTACCACAGTCCATTGGTATATGTGTTGAGAACCAGTAAGGAATCTACCACAGTCCTTTGGTATATGTGTTGAGAACCAGTCTAATTTCAAAGCCCAGGTTGTTTTTTTTTTAATATATATATCTGAGTGATAAGATCATAGATTAATTTTATTTATTTTATTTTCTTTTTTTTTTTATTAAATCTTTATTGTTCAGATTACATTTGTTCCTCTTCCCCCCCCCATAACTCCCCTCCTCCCAGTTCCCGCCCCACCCTCCGCCCTCACTCCCCACCCACTGTCCTCATCCATAGGTGCATGATTTTTGTCCAGTCTCTTCCCGCATCTCCCATTCCCCTTTCCCCCCCAAGAATAGTCAGTCCATTCCCTTTCTATGTCCCTGATTCATTATAATCACCAGTTCATTCTGTACATCAGATTATTTATTCACTTGATTCTTAGATTCACTTGTTGATAGATGCATGTTTGTTGTTCACAATTTGTATCTTTACCTTTTTCTTCTTCCTCTTCTTAAAGGATACCGTTCAGCATTTCGTATAATACTGGTTTAGTGGTGATGAACTCCTTTAGCTTTTCCTTATCTGTGAAGCTCTTTATCTGACCTTCAATTCTGAATGATAGCTTTGCTGGATAAAGTAATCTTGGTTGTAGGTTCTTGGAATTCATCACTTTGAATATTTCTTGCCATTCCCTTCTGGCCTGCAAAGTTTCTGTTGAGAAATCAGCTGACAGTCGTATGGGTATTCCCTTGTAGGTAATTGAGTCTCTTTCTCTTGCTGCTTTTAAGATTCTCTCTTTGTCTTTTGCTCTTGGCATTTTAATGATGATGTGTCTTGGTGTGGTCCTCTTTGGATTCCTTTTGTTTGGGGTTCTCTGCGCTTCTTGGACCTGTAAGTCCATTTCTTTCACCAGGTGGGGGAAGTTTTCTGCCATTATTTCTTCAAATAGGTTTTCAATATCTTGCTGTCTCTCATCTTCTGGCACCCCTATAATTCTGATATTAGTGCGCTTGAAGCTGTCCCAGAGGCTCCTTACACTATCTTCGTATTTTCGGATTCTTTTTTCTTTTTTTTTTTTTAATATATTTTTATTGATTTTTTACAGAGAGGAAGGGAGAGGGATAG